ATTGCAGTTGTCTAATAGCTAGATGCAAAACAATAGGAAATGCTGCAGTGCATAGTAGTTCTAATCAAAACGGGACCGCCAACCTTAGCAAGGGAAACCGGGGACCGCCAACGTTAGGAAAAAAAAAAAGTGCTCCGCCCTTGGGACACCTGCAGATTCTACTGAGAGCCCAGAGAGTTGCGGAGTTCCTGTCTGCCCCCAAACCCTAAACCCCACCCATTCCCGCTGTCCCAACGTCAAGGTGGAAAACCTGACAGAGCAAGATGCCAAGGACACGGACCTAGGGTTTAGGGTTCAGGGTTCGCAGGGTTTATAGGGTTTTTAGGGTTTAGGGGCCTAAATCAGTACCACTGCTCTTTGTGAGGGCTCCTTGACAGAACCACACTAACTGTATAGGGCAATACCCTACCCCTTCTTTAGGAACCTAACTTTCTAAATAATATAACAGCCCCCAAACATAAAACTAGGAAACTAAAAGAAGGGGGTAGGGTAATAGGGTATGACCCTCTAGGTACTGTAAAAATACCAGGGGCAGACTGTGGTGGTCTTCTGAGAGAGTTTCAGCTCGCGAAGGTCAGGGCGAGTAAAAGGGAGACTCCTAAACCCTCAAAACTTTAGGGTCTAAAGTTTAGGGTTTAGGGTTATAAGCCCTGGAACTTTAGGGTTTAAAGTTTAGGGGTTAGGGTTAAAAGCCCTAAAACTTTAGGGTTCAAAGTTTGGGGTTCAGGGTTTAGGGTTATAAGCCTCAAAACTTTAGGGTTTAAAGTTTAGGGTTTAGGGTTTAGGGTTATGAGCCCTAAACCCGAAACCCTGCAGGGGGTTCGGTTTCACCTGCAGGTTTTAGGAATTTGAAGAACCGGCAACAGCGTTCAGAGCAGAGATTCCCTTGACTTGAACTTCAGTGTAGGTCTGTCCCTAAACCCAAACTGTCATATTGGATCAAGCCCAAGGGTCCAACGGACCCAATAATCAGGTACTTAGGTTTCGGATAGTAGTTATGTAGGCTACTATTTGGGAGAGTATATGATTATTAGGTACTTGGACCCTTAGGGAAGCGCCATGAACCCTAACATTTATCTTGTCAGGACGTTCCGGAGCTCCGACGCCTCTTGAACCGAGGCTTCGTTGGTTCAGGGTTCAGGGTTTAGGGTAGGCTCTAGGGCCTCTAGGGTGAGCAGTACTGTTCATGTAGGGGCCTAAGCAATTACCTATATTATTTTGGTGGGCTCCAAAAAAATGTATATTGGGCCGCCTAACCCAAGTTAATTATTAAGGCCCCTACATTACATAATAGAGGGTTCGGGCAATAATTCGAAACGGGTGTTCATTTGTTCCTCGGGGTGCTGCCAGATAGTTATAGCCTAGAAGCTCCATATATACTACCATGATGGGAGTTAGAGGCTCTGGGAACGTGGACACAAGAGATTTCTTGAGTTTCCGGAGCTGCAATGCCGGTGCTGCATGAAGGCGGAATCGGCTGTAGGACCTTCACCTCCTGGCCAGGCCGTGTGCCCAAGGACTTGTCATCTCGCCTCTCTTGAGCCACAACATCGGGCCTGTTGGGCTCCTTATTATAATTATGGTATACTCTATCCCAAACCCTGTTCGAATTATTGAGGTCCCTATATTAACCGCCTTCAAGCTATAGTACGTAGTTCTGGACTGGCTTCACATTGTTGATCTTGGCGTCGGTGCTGATGTCATGGGGAATATTTTTCTCGCTCCTGGTGACTTCACTCTGTCCCTAAGGGTTCATGTGCCCAAATAGTATATACTTTGGCCCCAAAGTACCTATATGGGGGCTACTTTAAGGCCAAAGTATACACTGTTTGGGTACACGGACCCTTAGGGTGTACATTCGTGGTAATAACAAAGAGGAGCGTTTGGTCAAGCTGTGGAACAGAATCCGCGGGGTTTTTGTTTATCAAGCCCTAGGGCTCCAGTGGCCTAAATAATCTGGGTTATGCATTATACCTTGGGGCATACGGTTTAGGGTTTAGGGTTTAGGGGTTTAGGGGTTTAGGGTTTAGGGGTTTAGGGTTTAGGGTTTAGGGCCCAGAGTGTGCTAGACTCGACACTTTGAGCCTCGACTTTGGCCGAGAAGGGGCCTCCATCTCTCAGGTTCACGCCTTTGCATCCTGAGTTTTCCCCCCTACGGTTGATGATATAAATCCTGCATTACCCATAATAGGGAATATACCATAATCCCCATAGTTTAGGATCCTTAAGGTAGTGCAGGATTCATATCATCAACAGTGGTATTCTAATCCCATATTTTTACAAGGAAGCGTACTCCGAACGGTCCCTGCTTTAAACGAGACCTACACAGCTGCTAAACAACTTGAGTCGGATGACCTTGTCTTACATCGCCTATTTTCTGGTACGATCTCGCCATCAGAAAATAGTAAACCAAACACGGTCCTAAACCCCAACCCTGAAGCCTTAAACTCCAGGCCCTGAGTCCTAAACCCTAGACCTGGAGCCTAGGGGGTTTAGGGTTTAGGGTTTAGGGTTTAGGGTCTAGGTAGCGACCTGAGTCCAGAAAGGCCTCGCAGCGCGGACCGTGGCCTGTCACGCCATGAACGCGGACAGTCCCGAGCCTACCTGACTCGGGCTCCTTTAAGGGCTCCTATAAGGGATCTGGGGTCGTCAGGGTGCAGTAACTGTAGCATAAAACCATAGGATTCGTTATAAAAGGGAAATTGTTATTATTTTTCCGACCTCCACATTACTTGAATTGTTCTTTCAAGTAGGTGTCAGCCAAACAGTTTCCTATCAGGGATGGTTGCTTGCGTAATTCATCCCCATCATCCAGGTTGGGTGCGCTTAGTGAACAACGCCGTTCAGCGTTCTGGATCCATAAGACGTCCCTAGCCGATGTCCTCCGCTGCATAAAAACCGAGCCACCTGCAGGGGCGTGTAGAAGAGTCGTGGCTGAGATTTGTTCCGCGCTGCTTGTTTCTTCAGTCCAAGGTTTGGGGTTTAAGGGTTCTTCAGTTTTGACTTCAGTATTCAGGAATGATACAAATCCTGCATTACCCATAATCAAAGATTATACCATAATTCCCATAGCTTAGGGTCCTTAAGGTAATGCATGGTTCATATCATCAACAGTAGTTCAAGCGATGTTTGCCGATGGAAAGTTCTGCAAGGGCTGGTTGCAGTCTCTGACTAGCGGGGCCCCCTGCATCAACGTCATACTGGGTGCTGACAGAGGCAAGTCATGGCAGGTCAAGTGCCCTATCTGCGCAACAGGTCATACTCCGCCAAATCCTGATTTCTGCCCCAATATGACCCCATATATACACCCAATCAGGTAATATAGAAGCCTGGTTAATGTCCCTTCCATGTGTCACTACGGGTCCAGGTACATGTTAATCATACACTCTCCCGAATATTGACGTACAACACTGCTACTCTAAGCCCAAGTACTTGGGTGCTTCGGAGCCTTAAATCCTGTCAAGATGTCCTTATCGATCCCATCTAGAACCCCTAATGATGAGGTCCTTTGGATCCTTGCAGGTCTACACTACTGGGGTTTAGGGTTTAGGGCTATGTTCGAGTCAAGGGAGGACCTCACTCCGTCCACCAAAAGGCTACCCAAAGGATCTGAACCCTACCTAACCGCCCAAAGTAGGTATAATGTTGGCCCCAACACCCATTAAAAGGCTGTTCTTCCACATACCTTGGAGGTCCAGGTAACCATACACCTAGGGCCTATAGGGTTTAGCGCTTTGGCTTCAAGCTAAGCCCGGAAGCTTAAAGCCTAAACCCTGAACGCGGCACCTTCACCCCAAATTTAAACCAAATCCCAGAGCCGAAACCTGTGCTTTGGGCTCCTTACCACAACTGGGACCTTGTTGGATACAAGTTTAGGTTTTTGTTATAATGAAGCCCAATAAGGAATAAACATGATCATTTTCAATAAAGCCCAAACAGGGAACCAGAAAAGTCTATACGTCTTTACTTCGAGTAGACAACACCAGAAACAACCCTAAAGTCTAAGTATTAAGACCCATCTAGAAGCTATTGTTGGTCACACTGTTGCTGTTTGTTCTGGTTTCTAAGGCCGGTTGAAGCTTCGTTTAAGTGTGCACCTGCTGTTCGAAGTGGACTTAGGCAGCCGAAGGACTAGGACGCGTCTGCCGATCCTTGGTTTGGGTTTGAGACCGAACCTGCAGAGTTGTTCGAAGGCCGAAACCCGAAACCCTAAGCAATGACAAGGTTGGCCAGGTCTTGGACATCAGCTGATCGCTGAAACTCGCAACATCATGAAGCATCACCAAGTTTGCATTTCCGAAGAACACTGGGTACGCATCAGTTCATCGAGGATGCCATGTCGCCTCCTCCCCCTCCGGATCCCCGTCCTCAGGATGAACATGCTTAATGGGCTCACACCGTCATCTAAACCCTAAACCCTAAACCGCTCAATGGGCTCACACCGTCATCAACTTGGAGGCACTCCTTGTCATAATGCGATGAAGAGCACGCGCTGTACTCCGAGTCGCTGTCGGAGTTGCTCAAGCCCAAAGGCTCCATGTACCTTTATAGTAGATACGGTTTAGGGTTTAGGGGTTTAGGACTGAGGGGTTTAGGGGTGTAGGGTTTAGGGTACCTGTTGAAGTAGATACTTCGGCCTTAAAGGGGTCCCTATATAGGCACTTTGAGGCCTAAGTATGTACTCTACGGGTACATGGAGGCTTTGGGAAAAGGTACTTCCACACACAGACTCGTGGAGAAGTCCGAGGACAAGCAGGACACTTGCCCAGCAACCTGACACGGCACAGGTCCGCAGACGGCCTTCCGATTTTGACGTTGGGGCCTGGGTCCCTTACGTAAGTTTTAGGGTTTAAGGTTTAGGGTTTGAGGTTTAGGGTTTAGGGTTTAGGGTAGACAATAATATGTCACCCAAAACCATCAGTTCTGATTTTCAGGAAACCGTAGACCCTAAACCGTCCCCAAAAGCCTCAACCCCCTCTTGTTGGCAGCAACCTTTTCAGGTTCCCGGTCCCACGTCATGTTCACCGTCAAGGCGGCTTTGCTTCACGTCGGCCGGGGCTTGTTCTGATCAGGGGCTTAGGGGTTAAGCTCTTTGGTTTAGGGCCTCATGGTTTTAGTGTTTAGGGCTGCGGGTTTAAACCCTAAACCCTAAACTCTAAACCCCTAACCCCCACCCCCTAAACCCCAAAGCCTAAAGCCTAAACCCTAGTGCAGGATTTGTATCATCAACCATAGCACTCTGAAAACAGTCTTGATGTTGTCACTGCGGAGTTATACGGTTTAGGGTTTAGGGCTTTGGGTTTAGGGTTGAGGGTTTAGGGAAAGCATCCTGAGTGTGATCTCCGGAGCAACTGTGTCGTTCTAAACCCTGAAGGCTAAAACTAAGCACAAGCCTGCGGAGCATGCCACTGACATCCTTCATTACCAGGTTTTCACAGCCCCAAAGCCCGAAAACCCTGGACTCTAGACTCACAAGCTACGCTGCCAGCACACAAGCAAGGAACCAGAGGTTGTGAGGCTCTTCGAACACTCGGCATCTGTGAAGTTCCCGGGCCTAGAAAAAGGGACCATCGATTTGAATGTGGTAGGGTCATACACCTCCTGTCATGGCTCCAAATCCCTTTTTGGGAAAACTTGCCAACTTGGTGGAGGAGGCTCTTAGAATGTAGCATAAGGCTGCATAGGGTTCATCCTTGAATGTCGTTCTGGCATTTCTAGGTACCTCTTACGCGCATATACGCCTGCGAGAAATTCGCCAGGAAATCCCGTAAACTAGAAGTAAAGTAGATGAAAGCACGGTTTTCTAGTCAACACCGTTAAACAACGTGCGAGGTCACCACTACCAACCGCTCCACCCGAGAGTCTTTGACGGGAAAGATCGTCCTGGCACGCCAGGGCCGAGCTAAACTCGGGGATTGGCTCATGACCAGCAATTACCCTAAACCATAAGCCCCTATATAAACCCTAGGCCTAAACTTTAAACCCTGAACCCTAAACCACAACCACAAAGCCCTAAACCCTGAACCCCAAACTTAAACCCTAAACACAAAACCAGCCCGAGATCTGATTTCTCTGATCTCGAGCAGCGTAAAACTGTCTTTGCGGTTGCAGGAGTTTGAAAGGCTTAAGATAACGTTTCAGGGTTCGAGAAAGGTCTCTGGATTTGGGTCCGGGGTTGAAAGTCATGACGTCCTTGGCTGTTGTGTTGTTATATTATCTATTTTATTGATGTTGTTTTCGGGCTTGCTTTTTTCTTTGAGCACTGGCACGGTGTGCAAGGAATCTCCTAAACAGGGGCCGCATGCATCACAGGCAAAGAGCCGAGGTCTGAACAGTTCTTGCAGAAGCATGCAATAACACCCTCTTACAGTCCCCGCCCACTCTCTCTCTCTCTCTCTCTTTCTTCGCCCATAATTAACTAATGTGTATATATATATATATAAACACACTCAGAGCCCGAACAACGAGCAATTTACTCAACCTTTCAGGTAGGTCTCTATTGCAATCATGAAGGCCTTGTACTCTGACTATGAAGGCCCGGGGTTCTAGCTATTCCGGCCCTCGATCCCGTATGCTAACGATGCCATGAAGCTCTGAACCCTAAACCCTATTCAGGACGCAGACCTAGAATTAACGGGTGAGGCGCAGGTAAAGGCCAATGGATTAGGCCATTGAGCCCAATACCCCTTAGTTGAGGGATATACCCTAAATTGTCGTTGCATTAGCCTTTATGGTTTAAGGCATATTCCTTAATTTCGGGCTAAACCCTAAACCCTAAACCCTAAACCCAAAGCCCCAAATCCCAAATGGGCCCTCTGGCTCTGAAGCCGCACCCTGCACCCGCCCAGTGCGACCTCGGTGGATCTGAGAGGCTCAAGAAGAGCGAGGCATCGGGTTTAGGGGTTAAGGGGTTTAGGGCTTAGGGTTTAGGGTTTTAGGGTTTAGGGTTTAGGGTTTAAGGCAACGGGCTGGGGCTTAGTTTAGGGGTCTAGTTAGCTAGAGTAGGGTCTTGGGGTATATTGTACTATAACTATTTTGGGTTGAGGGTTCAGGGTTTAGGGGTCTAAATAGCTAGAATAGGGTCTTGGGGTATATTGCACTATAACTAGTTTGGGTTTAGGGTTTAGGGCTGAGGCTTACTGGTTACCTGTATTATTTTGGGGGTTCCTTGTTATAATGATATTATAATGGACCTCCAAAGCCTTGTTCTAATTACTAAGGTTCCTACATTAGGGCTTACAGGATTTGTGGTTTAGGGTTTGGGCTTCGGGTAGGGGACCAGTTGTGTCACCTGGGTTCTTGTTAAGGGGTTTAGTTTAAGTTACCATAAAAGAACCCAGTCAGAGTGTGTCGAGGTGCACTTCCTTCAGCTAGGCCTCCGCACCTTCTGAAGACCCTAAATGCCTCGTCTTGGAGTTTGGGGCTTTAAGGTTTTAACGGTTTAGGGTTAGGGTTTTAGGTTTTAGCGTCTAGGGATCTTGCTTTACCCTAAACCCGGCAGCCTCAAACCCTAAAGCCCTAACTAAACCCTAAGCACGGCATGCAACAAGCTGTAGGATGTAGGGGTGCAAGTCCCCGAGCCAAGAATCTTGGCACCCTATAAAATTTAACCTCAACGCCTAAACCGAAACCTCTGAAGCTTTTCACCCCAATCCCTATATAGATCCCCAAGCCCCAAACAAACCTACCCTATTGCCCCGATGAGGAAACCTTTAAAGCAACCCGATGACCGAAGGTTACGGGCGAGAACATGAAGGAAGCCATCGAAATCAATCGCTCTCTCACGGCCTTGGGGGACGTCATCGAGGCATCTGCTGGGAGTGCCTTCTGCTGCTATGACTAACTTGCTACTTATTATTCCCATTGGTGTTAGTAGTAGTAGTAGTAGTAGTAGTAGTAGAAGTAGTAGAAGTAGTAGTAGTAGTAGTAGTAGCAGCAGTAGTCAGAGTAGTAGCAGAAGTACGACGGCTAGTACTATCCTCACCAGACCACCGCCGCCGCCAGCAGCAGCACCGCCAGCACTCGGAAAACTGCTGCCGTGACCGTGATGCTGTGTCGTGCCGGACACAACGAGTTTGCGTATATGCGGCCGCCTGCAGGTACCTCACATCGATTTTACAGCCCTCAACCCTGAAACATAAGCTCACAGGGAAGGTACATCTAACCCTTTGTGCATCGCTATACATGTGCTTATAGCCTCCATTGTAGACTATTTATAGTAACAGACAGCCTGTAAAGCTGCCGGTCCCAACCACGAAAACAAAGCAAATTTGGACAGCTCCACAGGAACCATCTCCAGTCTTTTCAAGTGATCGTCTCCATTGTAGGTCCCTTTTGGGGTCTACCCAGTTTTATATATAGGGTCCTATAAGGTATCCCCAAACAGGCACTACAAGGGAGACTATGGGTAGTTGGCAAGTTATAGGTGCTGAGGGCTCATGCAATTGAGAGCTCCATTGAACTGTAGGAACCTCGCGACCGAGCCTGTTCTAAGCCGTTCGTTTATGGAACAGCCAACCTGTTTTTGGAACAGCACAAAACCCTAAACCCTAAACCCTAAACGCTGCAGGCCATAGCTCGCGGCAAACCGCAAGTGCCCTACCGCAACCATCGCCTGACGCAGTTGCTTCAGGCCTCACCTGTCTATGGGTGCTTGAAGGGTTTAGGGTTTAGGGTTTAGGGTTTAGGGTTTAGGGTTTAGGGTTTAGGGTTTAGGGTTTAGGGTTGAAGGGTTTAGGGTTGAGGGCTTGAGCGTTGAGGGGGTTTAGGGTTCAGGGCTTTGGCTTGAGAGTCTAGTGCTTTCTTGGCTCTCCAGTGCCGTTTGTTCATTTCTTAGTGGTTGTGCTTCCAATATTTAGTCGAGTTCTGGATGTTTACGGAAGTGTGTATTCTCCACGACATGCTGTTGTGTTGTTTTTGATTCGTTGTCTCTTCTCTTGATGTTGGGGTTCTGATTTCAAAGCAACAATGATAGGTAGAGCCGTGCGCATTGTCGTCGTCGAAACAGGGTAGTGTCATCCGTGTCATCTGCATCAAAGTAGTCTCAAGCAGCGCAGTTGCAGGTTCGTTCCATGTGCTGCACAGCACTGGCGCAGCACAGGTCAACTCAAGTCTAGGCTAGGCCAACATAGCAAGATGGCCCTTGTAACAAACACGCTAAACCCTAAACCCTAAGAACAGATGGCCCTGCGAACACCAAGAGCCACAACTTGGAGTTTCCTCCGTGGACCGCCCAACTTAACTTCAGCACCCAGCCGAACAAGCCAGAGTTTGGTTAGATGTTGATTTAGGGTTTAGGTATTAGACTTCAGTGAGGGTTTAGTTTAGGGTTTAGGGTTTAGGGCCGCGATACCCCTTGATTAAGCAAGATACTTCAAACTATGATAAGAACCCAAAATACGAAGGGGCATTCCTGAATTAGGGGGGTTGCTGGACCCCTCTGAGGGTTCCACAAGAGATCTTTCAGAGTACTCTAGGGTTCAGGGTTTAGGGTTCCTTTAAAGGGTGCTTTGGGCGGCGGTGGGAGAGTGCTGATAAATTCGGTACTGAAGCCCAGAAGCGTCTTTGGGATCACAGGATTCTCTCGGCGGCAGTGCGAAGACGCTGATGTTCTGCAACTGCTCTCCTGCGAGGAGCGGCAACCAGGAGTTTGGGGTTTATAGGGCTTGTGGGTATAGGGTTTAGGGTTTATAGGGTTTAGGGGCTTTTGGGTTCAGGGTTTAGAACCCTAAACCCTAAACCCTAGGTTTTGGAGATTCAGCGCTGCCACCTTCCGAGACTGTCCCCCAGAGTCCCTTTGCCAAAACATGCTAGCAATTCCTATGATACAAACCCTACATTCTGCTATAGGTACTCAGGACCCTTTGGGACTGTCCAAGGGTCTTTAAGGGCGGGCAAGTATTTGGTACGAGCTTCGAGGTCTTTATGGCCTCACAGGTCACCTACGGTCAGCCTTAACTAGGTGCCCTGTGTTTGCATGTGCTAGTGCTCTATAAGTAAGCAGCCCGTTAAAGTTAAGGGCATGCAGGGACGATTCACGGCTGCTTTCAAAGGTTTTCACAAGATGTGAACCCTAAACCCTAAAGCCCTGAACCCCTAAAGCCCTAAACCACCTTAATCCTAAAACCCTAGAGCCCTAAGCCCCTTAACCCTAAAAGCCCTAAACCCTAAAAACCCTAAACCCCCAAAACTCCAACCCTAAACCCTAAACCCCGAACCCCTAATCTAACATCCGAAGCCCTAAACCCTAAACCCTAGACCCTAAACCCTAAACCCTAAACCCTAAACCAAAACTCCAAGCTTTTATTGGATCCCTGTGGCCCAGTGATTATCCTTCATGGGTCTGGTGCCACGTCGTAGCACCTGTGGTTACAAGACCTAATCTTCAGCTCCATGTTTGTGTATATGTTTAGGGTTTAGGGCTTTAGGGCTTTAGGGTTTAGGGTTTAGGGCTTTAGGGTTTAGAGTTTAGGGTTTAGGGGTTTAGGGTTTAGGGTTTAGGGGTTTATTTTTAGTTAGGCGTGAAAGCATTCACTAGATAGGTAGCTTAAGGCCTATAGGTATGTACTATAGTCTAGAGGTACATGGAGCCTGAGTGCCAGCCAATGCGAGCAGAATTTCATGCGAGCCTGGGTCGGCAGACTCGCAATTGCCAGGCTGGAGGCTGGAGACTCCAAAACCTTTTGGTTAAGGAATATACCTTAAGTCTTATTGGGGTTCCTCTTATAGTTCAAGGATTATACCTTAGGTCTTATTAAGGCTTCTCTTATAGTTTAAGGAATATAACTTAGTCCTTATTGAGGTTCCTCTTATAACTTAAGGAAAATACCTTTGGTCTTTTCAGGGTTCCTGTTACAATTTAATAAGGTGTATTCCTTAATGAAGGGTTTTTGGAGTCTCTGGGAATCTGTCTCAAAGGCAGAATGAAGTCCTGGGGCCTAGCCTTTAAGGCTCCATGCACCGAGCCCAAGAGCCCTAACAACGCCCGCGACCCCACCACCAAAAGCAAGCAACAACATCGGGTTTAGGGTTTCGGGTTTAGGGTTTAAACCCTAAACCCTAAACCCTTATTCAACAAACAACATCATGGTAAAGGGGTGCAAAACACATGAACCGATAAGTTCATAATCAGAATGCAAGTCTTGAAGAGACTCAGGCCTGCACCTTGTCCTTTTCTGTCAGAATAACACTAGGAAACATATCAAACCCTAAACTCTAAAGCCTAAACCCTGAATCCCTAAACCCTCAAACCCTAAAGCCCTAGAGCCCTGAAACCCGAAAGCCCTAAAGCCCTAAACCCTAAACCCCTCAACCTCTAAACCCCTAGGGAAATCCTAAAGTCATAAAACCCTAAGCCCTTACCCCTAAACCCTAAACCCTAAACCCTGAAACCCCAAAGCCCTAAACCCTAAACCCTCAAACCCTAAGACCCTAAAAACCCTAAACCCTAAACCCTAAACCCTAAAGCCCTAAAAACCCATCTTGGCCAGGTCAAACCTGCACGAGACGAGACTTGGTAAGGATACGAAGAGACAGCGGGGGCTTGTTTTGTGGTTTAGGGTTTAGGGGTTAGGGTTAGGGTTTAGGCGTTTAGGAGTTAGGGTTCAGGGTTTAGGGGTTAGAGTTCAGGGATTTAGGGTTTAGGGGTTTGGGTTTAGGGTTTAGGGTTTGGGCTTTAGGGTCTAGCGGCATCTGTGTACGGCTTCATGCGTGTTATATGCTGACGGTTTGGGGGTTTGAAGCTTTGGGCTATGTTGTTCTTTGGTTTGGGGGTTCTGAGGTTGAGGTATTTGGATTTGTGAGGGGTGACACTCGGGTTATAGGTTCATTGGAGATCGTAGCTGTTTTTGCTCGTTGTTTTTTGAGTTGGCAGTTTGTTGTTTGGTTTCAAGGTGATCCTAAACCTCAAACATTCATCCCTAACCTTAGACAGTGCTGTACAAGAGGTTTGTCTTCAAAACGATTTTCAGCTTCGGGTTTTGGAAGGCTTTTGGCTTGAGGAGTTGAGGGGATTTAGGGATTAGGGTTAAGGCTTTAGGGTTTAGGTTTCAGAGGTTTAGGGTTATAGGGTTTAGGGTTCAGTTATGAGGTTTAGGGCTTTTTGGGGACACGTTGCAAGTCTTTTTTACCAGAGGTGGTATATACATCATTTGCAGGTAGTTCGATTGTAGCCAAGAGGGTCTGCAGTTGAGGCGGCTGGGGGGTTTTGTGGGTGGCAGGTGCTTGTGCGGTTTTCAGGAAATCATAGAGGCCCTGCACCAGGGCTTGCTTTTTCACATTAATTAAGTCCAGAATGGTGGGATATATGAATCGCTGTATTCTTAATATAACATGGAGGCAACTGGGCGGCTTCAATTCTCCGAAAGCCCACCAGCCTCTAAATTTTGCAGCTAAGGATGATGAGCTTGAATTACGCACTGCGTGCGAAGCGCATCGTGAACAACGTCGCGGGTGCCCTAGGTTGGTTTAGGGTTTGGGGTTTAGGGTTTAGGGCTTTCCCAAAGGCTCCATGTACTTGTATAGTAGATACCGAGGCCTTAAAGGGTTCCCTGTATAGGTACTTTAAGGCCTGAGTATCTACTATATGGGTACATGGAGCCTTAGGGTAGGTTGATGGGGGTGAGGCAGAAACTTTCGACTCTATCGACCATGCAGCGCTAGATCCAACCGGGTTTGGGGGTTTGCCTAAACCCTAAACCCTAAACCCCAAACCCTAAACCCTAAACCCTAAACCCGGGTTTGGGGTTTAGGGGAAAGCCCGAACCCCGGCAACCCCAAGCTCGAAACCCTCCTGAACTGTCTTGAGATTCGCAGCTGCCTATAAGCCCCAAACCCTCTAAACCCCAAACCCTAAACCCCCCCATCCCTAAACCCTAAACCCTAAACCCTAAACCCTAAATCTTATTTGTTTTCAGTATTGGGCGGGAAGAGCTGACCTCTGACACGGCACGGGCCCCGTGGTTTCCTGCAAAAGCTCATGGGAGGATCCTTGTGGATTAAGGTTTTAGGGTTTAGGGTTTGGGGTTTTAGGGTTTAGGGTTTAGGTTTTAGGGTTTTGGGTTTGGGGTTTTAGGGTTTAGGTTTTAGGGTTTAGGGTTTGAAGGTAGGGCCGAGGGGTCCCTAGAGGAAGGATCCTCGTACACATAGAAAACACAGGGTTCCAGGGTTTAGGGTTTAGGGTTTAGGGTTCCTCTTGCATTTTTCCGAGGTACCCAGATACAGTAGAAGCCAGAAAGCTGGGAACCGGTTAGCCTCAATCCTGAGGAGTAATGTTTAGGGGATCCCAGCATGACTGTTGCTGATATAAATCCTGCATTACCTTAAGGACCCTAAACTATGGGAGTTATGGTATCTTCCTTATTATGGGTAATGCAGGATTTATATCATCTACGGTATTTGTCCTTAATTCGGTTTCCAACTTTCGGGGGTCTACGAAAAGTTGTTGCATCGAGCCTGACTGAACTTTGATGTCCATGTTCAGGGCTCCTAGGTCCCAGCAGAGGATTCAACTTCAAGTTTGCAGACTTCCCCACCGAGACTCCAATATCCCTTAATTGCGGAATATACCTTGAATCTTATAAGGGTGCCTATTATACTTCAAGATATATTCCTTGATGAAGGGGTCTAGGAGTCTTTGGGCTAGACAGGATTGAGAATGAATGTGCACAAAAAGAAACGAAGTGCTCGTTTGAAGGATCGGGGACACAGTCAGCACTGTTTATGGTTTAGGGCTACAGTGATGGGGAGTGCCAGTGGCCCAAAATCTTTTCAACGGACCTGCCTTTTTTAAGGGACTACATAGGAACCGTAACAAGGAACCCTAAAACGGTTGGCTTTTTCGGCTACAGGTAGTGCTAAAAATCGGCTAGCTTCGGGGTTTCGAATTTATCATGTGTTAGGGTTTAAGCTTTACTGTCTTTGTCACTTGTTCTAAACCCGAAACCACAAGAATCAGAAACAAGGGTTACATTTCTACTTGCGAGGGTTCCGTCCATCACCGCTTTGTAGAAATCCGTACAGAAATCCTTCTAAAAGAAGAAGAAACAAACACAACATTTGAGGGAAGCTGACCGTGTTTCGTACATAAGACGTAGCCATACTATGGCCAGCCTTCCGAGGACAACTCTGGGTCGAAGTGGCAGTTGCTAACTGAATAATGGGTTTAGGGTTTAGGGTTTAGGGTTTAGGGTTTTGAATATAGAGCTTACAGGGCTCATAGTGTTTATATAGGGTTTAGGGACGTGCTTCAATGCTTCTGGGAGCTGAACTTGATGTTGTGGGTCTTCCTGGGTGTAAGATGGTCTAGGTCTAGGGTCTAGCGAGCTGAAGTTGCTTTGTAGTTGCGACAGGGTTTAGGATGGTTTAGGGTCTTCGGGTTCGGGGACTAGGGTTTGGTGTTGTGGGGCTTTACAGCGAGCCCAACAGCACAGCATCTGTGCTGGCGCTCACTGGTGGCGATGTCATCGTTCACATCGGGATGCGGGCGTTTTCATCTTCAGTCCGATCCATGGGCCCTCCACCTGCTGGAGCTCGAATGGCAAGGCAGCACATAAGGCGATAGGCGAGAGTCCAACAGCACGTTTCTTTCGAGGCAGGGGCGACACCCGAGACATCGGAAGATCATAGGATACCAGCCCGAGGCTCCAAGATCCAGGCTGCATTTTGGCTTAACCAGATTTATGTGATCCTGTGATGGCGCTGCCTTTGCCGGACGTTGCTGCCTTGCGCAGGACGGATGTCAGACCGGGCCCGAGAGCCTCATTCCACCACATGGTGCCAGCCTCACAGCAACGACGTCGGGCTTTTTGAAAGCCCAAAAACTTCGCATGGCGTTTGGAGCCTTGAATATCTGAAACATAGCTCCTCGACGTCTTCGCTATCCCCGGCTGCGATGGAACTGCTTGCCGACATGGAAGGAGCTGCCGGCACTGGAACGAAGTCTAGCAGACTTCAGTCTCATCCATGCAAAGGTGCGACCCGAACAACTGGCCGGCCTCCAATAGGTCATCGAACGCTTGCACCTGACGTACTACAAGGCCCGCCAGGATCCGGCGAGCTCGTGGTACGTGGCAGCCAAGGCACGGTCAGATCACCCGGGTGTGGACACCGAAGCCTTGGAGCAGGTCTTTCACGTGGCCGATCGCTGGCAGGCCCGCGGAGTCTAGCTCAGCGTTTCTATCCGGGTATGCGCGCCGCCATCCTGCGCAGGTGGTCCTCAGCAATGCCGCGCCCGTGCACCAAGAGCTTCTGCTTCTATAGTTTACGTGTGGGACCACAACGAGCACCAAGACTGTGGCCACGCTATCCGGTGGCTGGTCTGCATTCCACACGGCGTGACGCTGACGTGGACAACTTCTGCCCTAGCCGTGGTCACCTCAATTGCAGTTGAAAAATCACAGACCGTGCAGACCTGCTGGGGCCCCCTGTTTAAACACAATGTATGCCCACCCGCGTCTCCCATGAAGGACCTACAAGCATGCACAAGGACTCACTGTACCTCCAGCGCGCTGTCGCCATGCAGCCCGCGCAGCAAACCGGTCCGTTGCTTTCAGGCTGCTTGCGACTCTGTCGTATGCCCCGACTCGGGCCTTCCGACGCCGCGGGCCAAGCGGCGCAGGTCCATCCAGGCGGCATGCGACGACCTCGCGAACAGCAGCCAGATTTTGCAGGACCCCAAGCTCATGCCGACGAGGCGGATGCGGTGGATGCCGGCACGATCGACAGCGAGTGGGTGCTGTTACACTTGCCCAACATCACAGTCCACCACAGCCACAGCGGGCGCTAGAGGCTCGACCGTGGCAAAGCCCTCCGCCCCGCCGCTTTGCGGGGCTGCGGGCAGTTTTTGTGCGCGCACTGCTACGGCGAGCGGCGGCCCGTCCGTTGTCCCCCTTATAGCCGATACAGCGATATAGCCGATATAGCGCATAAGGCGACTGGCGAGAGAATTGCTCGCCGAGCTCAAGGAGCTTAAGTTGAGGTTTGCATGCCGACGTTGATCAGCATGCGCCGGAAGGTCAGCAGGCGAAAGATGTGCTTGTCCACGTTTTCTGAGCACATGTGTAGGGAAAACATCATAATAACGATAAGGAGCCCTAGAATGTAGGCTCGCACCGCTTTTTGCAGGTGATGCGCTTTGAGTTTTTGAATACCAGTGGCTCCTAGACCTACCCCAAGAATACACACTTGCAAAAGAAATTGGTTAGAGATCTTGATTGTGCCGGAGCGCAAGATTGGGGGGGCTCCATACACCACAACCCTCCAGTTTGCCAAACCCTCATTACCCTGGCTTTAATTTAACCCCTAGGCCAACCTTAAACTCCGTATATCCAGACCCCCAATCCGAAGCCTCAACCCACAACTTTAAACCGCGAACCCTATAAACTATAGACGCAGTGAGCCTTACAACCAGAATCTATGAAACCTCAAACCTTAAATCCTTGGCTTCTGAGCCGCTGTGGGCCAAGGCGCATCCCAAGAAAAAAGAGCTGCCACCCAACAGAGGCACGGGGTTAGTGGTTTCTATAAGGGTTGCTATCTGGGCGGGCTTCTCAGTTTTAGGACGAACCCCGGCAAGTATGTTGCGCCACCGTATTTGTACATGTATAGTGCTGGCTTTATATTTTTACATTTTGCAGACCCACACCCGATACAGATCCGCGAAATCGCCGAGATCTCCTGACTTTGGTTGAGTTTGGTAGAGCTTACTTAAGGGCTCTATAGCGACCGACACCTGCGAAAACAGTATTGTGTTGCTACATTTGTTTCGTGTGATAGGATCCCTGCCATAAAGCAGGTCGTCCAAATAAGCAGCTACCACAATAAAATAGTAATAGTAATAGGTTATCCAATCAAGAGACATTACATTCTAGGGCCTGCTCTAAACGCCCAGCCGCTGAAGCCTTAAGCCCCAAACTGTAAACCTTTGTGAAAACCTACGGGGCGTTGAGCGAAGTGGACCTGGATGACCAGGATGTCTCGAGGGGACCACATGTGATGCCAGTTTAGATCGTATTGCCTACCAATTGCTAGGATTATGCCAGGGAGCTACCAGCGATCTATAAGGGATTTGTTGGCCCGGACGGGTCTGTCAGAATCAAAGAGCCCAATTACAAGTACATAATTGCGTGTGTTTAGCATAGTGTAGCAATTTTGATGGATGTTCGGGGGGCCGAGTTGATTGTCATGTAGCTGGACCCGGAAATGTACTGGGCTGCAGGCACCGATTTGCACCTACTAGCAACGGCAACGGGAAGAAAACCATACAACATGCAAGCCCATAAAGGCCTAAGCCTTGTGAGCCCCAAACACTAAACCTGACCGAAGCAGGAGCAGCAGCAATAATTCGAATTTGTTTGACCAAACAGCTGCCTCGTTTTCAGCTTTGGGGAGTCATGGTCCTGGGTCCTGCCCCAAAACCAGCAATAAACTCCTTGAAAAAGGAACCCTT